TTTCAATATAATTTCCTTCCCTTCCCCAAACATTTCCTTACCACAACGGGTGTCCGTTGTGGTGGAATTCCTACCTCTCCCTGATTCGTTTTTTGATATATTGAAACTTCAATGATTCGGGTGCACGAATCATTGAAAGGAAGTATGTTGAATCTAATAGATTAAAGAAAAATTAGATCAGAAAAAGGTTAATAAAAATATATCATCAAATCTTAACGCCGCCGAACATCACAGCCGAATCTCATCAAGGCCGAATCTCATTATAGTTGAATCTCATCACAATAAAGCCTTTACCTCTATAGCAAATTACAACAAAATTAAATCACAATTAAAAAATTTTAGGACTAATCCTAACTCGAGTTAAACCAGAATCTCATCAACAGAATCTCATCACCAGAATCTCATCGTCAGAATTTTATCATTAGAATCTTTACCACCTCATCGAACTAACCGGGTAGCCCGATTAGTCATCTTTATTTATCTTTATCTTATATTTTATGTATAAGGTTATTTAACTAATAAGGTTACAATTCCCAAGTTAGAGAAAAATCAATTATAATCAGACAATTATTAATTAAGACCATTAGCTAAATAATCGATTCAGAAAAAGGAAAGGGATTTTCAGGTTTGACTTTCAACGAATTGATAAATTTATACATCATCACCCATGAACACCATATACCATTGATACACCATCCACCAGTCGAGATATTGTTTGGTACTTTTCTACACCGAACGAAGAGCAAAGGAAATCATCTTAATCAAATTTATCCCCTCACAATATAAACGGATTTAAATAATTAATCTTTATTTTTTTCAACTTGTATGCAATTGATTTTCTCAATTCTTTTCTTTTAATTTGTGTTAAAATGATTTTCATCAATTTTTTTCTATTGATTTGTATTCTTATATTTCTTCCTCTTTATTATACCTTAATCTCTTTAAAGTTCATCCTCAATTATAAATCAATTCTTACCTTGTATACTTTTTCAAAAGTTTCATAGAATTATCTCTATTAAACTTTAATTTGCCATACTTAAAATCGTCACAAAAAACAAACGTGACAATAGCCTAGAAATGGTAAAGTGTCAAAGTCCGGATATTTGCTTTTTTGCCCTGTATAAGATTTAACTTCAGGCGAATTGTGAAAATCAAGATTAGCATTTACGAGTAGAATTGTTTGGTGATAGTATGAGACATATTTTCTAATATTCAGTGTTCATCTGAAGATGAAGCATCTATTAGCTTGGAGCAATCATCAGTAAATGAATGATAAAACTGAATTAACATCGAAAAAGAGATAAGTAGACATAATATGACTGACGCCTAATTATCTGAATATTAATATTATTCAGTGCATATTAGATAATCTTGATGACCCACTAGCTTAAAACTGTAATAACGATAATCCTCTTAAGGATTAGGCTTATTTCCAGAAATACTTGTTAAATGGGATTGAAAAAAATCAAATTTGAATTTATCGGATGTCTACTAACTCTCTTTAGTCATATTAGGATAGTAGGATTTTATCAATCCTTTGGTCAAGATAATATGTGTATGAGTTTGTATTATTGTGTTGTGATTTAGTTTATTTTTATTTACTAATGTTGATCAGTAAGTTGATCGTTACTAACAATCAAAGAAAGTATTGATCTAAGTTGATAGTTATTTTCATGAATATTACTCAACATTAGGGAATGAAGATAAAAAGATGAAGCTAATTCAAAGTTATATATTTACATGGTGGATTAATTTGGTTTGTATACACACCGGGTATTACAACAGGATTTACCATGTTTACCAGTCTAATCACATTCTTGTTACCATTAACATATTGATTGAATTAGTTTGAACAATTAATAATTCATGGAAATGTTTATTAGCTTCACATAGACACACTTTATATCAATGAATGTTGATTAAAATGAAGTAACATAGTAAATTAACACACAAACTGTAGGTGAAAGTTTGAAGGTTGTAGATTGAGGTGGAAAAAGAGAGAGACAGAGAGATGAGTTGAGTTGAGCTGAGCTGAGGCGAGGGAGTGAAAGTGATAATTATTTATTTATCATGTTGATAGCATATAAAAGGGTAAACAATTTCATTATCATGTAATAAACTTTGAAATAACAAGAAAAGTTTATCTGATGAATTGAAATTACTCATACTGACCATTTAATGGTCAATGTTATACAACTAATAGCAATCAAAATTTTTCTTAAGTTGGGTGGGAAAGTTAGAGACCATTATCACCAGTAAATAGGTGTAAATAGATGACCAGATGAAAACAGTGATTACCTTTTTCCAAGTGAATTGTAGGTTAGACACTTTTGTAATATATAAAAGAAGCTAGAATAATATAAATTCAGTGGAAAGGAAGAAAATATTGAGAAGAAAATTTATTTTTCTCTTCGTCTTTTTCCCCTCTGTTCAATTCCAATTTAATGGTAACATCCATTACTAAAGTGGCTACATTTTTCACTACAATGAATCAGCTAAATTTTGGGTAAAACTCAATTCTAATAGATGATTATTATCACGATGACCAATCTCAATTTCATTGTGTAAGAGAAAATAAAATTGAAAATATGAATCTAAATTTCTTGGGTTAATAGAAAGTTATATAAGTCCACATTTCTATTAGTTTAAATTTCATATGATAAACCTAATTCTCTAGAATTCAGATAATATTAAGTAATTGATAGTTATAATGATTACCAGTATCATAGTATCAATTTAATAATCAATTAGAGATAATATTGTATACGTGCAGATGAATTCTGATTAAGATTATCTTGAACATGGGTCACAAGAATAGCTTTAACCTTTATAAGTAAAAAAAAGTATCACGATAATGATGAAAACAAGGCGTTGATTCTTGAATATGAATATTTATCTGAAAAATTCATATTTCTACTTTGATATCTGCTCTGTTTTTTTACTCAAGATAATGTAGGGACATAGATTATTATTATCATCATTATCTTTATTATTGCTTTCACCAAGATGATGATGATAATGATAATATAACATTTATTACCCATTGCTAATAGGTAAAATGAAGGGTTACCATGAAATGTGAAGGCAAAAGAAAACTGTAAAGGTAAAGCTGATGAATTGATTTCAGATTAAAGTTGTATGTGTACTATTATTGTCATCATGATGATTACTACATCTCATGGAGATAACTGCAAGAGAGATACATGATAATCTATATAGATATATTTATATTGTTACGATCGGATATTATGACAATATTACTTTCAATTCCTGAGAGTTTTCACTGTCTTGATCTCTCGACATGGAAATAATTTACCTTCCAATTCTGTAAAATTACTAACAAAATTGTTAGCAGTAGCATAAAGTATATGCTATACAGTTAATCTTTCAATTGATTCATTGCAAAGTCGTGTAGTTGAATAGTTTCAACACATCGTATGTACTAATACTATGCGTAAATCTAACAATTTTTCGTTGAGATTTCATGAAAAACCAGAAAGACTAGAAAAACTAAGAGACTTGATATGTAAGTCTCTTACAACAGTGAGAAAAACAATTACTTTGAAAATAAGAAAAGAGGAAAAGTTGTGACGATGAAATTACTCACAATGTACAATCACCTTGAGGCCAATTGAAACCACTTAAACCTCATCATAAGTGTGATCATGATTATCAATATTCTGATTGTCTTTGGCTCAGTTATGCCATCTAAAGAGCTCTTCTTCCTATTCATCAATACTGAACATTATTGTTAATCATAATATTAATTTTAGATGAACATATACTTTTATTTATCAATTTCCCTTGAGTAAAGTTGGAACTTTTTTCTCTCTCTGTAACTTTTTCTGATTCTATTTTGTTCCTCTTTTGCTTACCCCTGAAGTGACTTGAATTCACCTTTGTTACCCTTTGCATATATATATATTCAGTTCAATATGTTTAAAGCATTTTCATTGTCACCACCATCATCTCCACTACCCAAAGGAAACGATCAGGCTCAGCTGAAGCTCCTCGATGAATTATATCAATCACATCCAATTTTCTGTAGCATTTTTATGTTTCAATCAAAATCTTACTCAAGAGACTTTTCAAGAGAGTAAGATGAATATAAGGAATTCTCAATGAGTATGGAATAAATTTTCTTATCCTGAAACATGATTCATTTTGAGAGTAAGAGAATCGAAGACGTATAAAGAAAAGAAAGAGATAAAATTTCGAAAATTAGATGAAAAAGTACCATGATAATATTTTTCTTTTACTCGATATCAATCAGAACTTTCGAGAGACAAAAACAAAAGTTGAATTATTATGCACGTTATCTTTGTTGGTGATCATTCAGCGTCACCATGTATCTTCACAATTTAACTCCCAAATCCCATGATAATATTACATGTAGGAAACAATCAATTTAGAATAAAAAAAGAAAGTTGAACATATCAAATTAAACATCAACAATAAATACATGTATTTATAATAACTAGAAGTAAGAAATTTATTCAATAAACGTTTCGTCAATATCTCTCAACATAAATTCAAAAGTTGTCACTTTTAATATTGATCAAAATTGACACAAATTGTTAAACGAGGTGAAATTAAATTTACTCAAGATAAACACTTGATTCAAATTTCATCTCAATCTTTGACATGAACTTTTCATGAGATGTGAAGGAGAAAACGAAACGAAACAAAACAAAACAAAACAAAAAACAGTTTCAACATCACATGAATCAACTATCAATTTAAAGACACCATGTATCAGAAAAAAAGAGGGTTCAAAATAATATAAATACGATATTAATCAGAATTGAAATGAAATGAAAAACTATCTAATCTTATTCATTTCATTTTCTATATTAAATATTGAAAATTTGAACACAACATGAATTTAGATGGTTAGTTTAATTTGGATGAGAAGGAAGAGGAAAAATTTCCATAATATTTTTGCTACATTGTTGTTGTTTCTTTTATATATACATATATTATTATTTGTATATATTGCATTTCGATGGCCTCGAGGTGAAAGGTGAACAGGTAATATTGCATTTCCGTGTATCATTTTGTCTGAGAAAATTTTTCCGTTATGTGATAGCAGAAAAAAAAGTTTCATCTCTGATGGTAGATTAAGGAAAATGTTGATCAGGTGGGAGGAAAGTAAAAAATAAACAAAATGTTCATAAATTGATGTAATCGACAGTGAATAATAATAAAGATATGAACCGTGGATACAATTCATGATAGATAATATGTATCTCATGATAATCACCTGTAAGGCATATTCATCAATCAGTCAAGTATCATTTTTCAATATTTCATCAAATTTGATATTGAAAATGAGACTTATGACAATTTGAATTTGAATTGAAGGAAAGAAGGAAAAAGTTTTTTCATCTTCCACCAATTCTCAATATTATCCATTTGCTTTCACCCTGAATGATCATATTTACCTGAACAAAAAAAAAGATTCAGAAGGAAACTTTTTCACCATCAGAATATTTTATTGGTTATATTTTCAGGTTATATAAATTTCTCTGAATTGACTGAATCGTTTCACTGAATTGAGTGTTATTGAAATTGACGTTGAGATAAACATGATTGTAATTGAATAACAGTTTGTCGTAATTGCAACAATCTTTTTTCATCATTTATTACAACTTTTATGATGAAGAAAACTTTCCCTTGAGTTCTAATTCATTAAACTTCTCCCTGAGTATTGATCTGATTTCACTAATTTTAACTCTCACTTTGGGATAAGATTGAATTATCTGTTGCATGATATTATTATACTTCCAGCCGATTAATAAGAAAGAGTGAAAATCGTCTGAATGTTTGACTGATATTTCATTAAATTCATTGACTCAGAGATTTTGACTCTTTGCATATTCATTCAACTTCAAAAGTTCTGAATAGTTACAATTGATTCTCTGTGTTTTTCCATGTGTATTCTGACTTTTCTTCTCTTTCATATTCTCACACAAAGTCAATCTCTCTCTTTCTCTTTCTCTTTCTCTTTCTCTATTTCTTTCTTTTCGATTGAACGAAAATGCAAATGAACGATTAACTGGAAAGAAGACGAATTGAACAATTGATCTTCAATCACAAATCAATCATGATCTCTAATGGCTTCAACTGTGGTTTTCCATGTTAAATAAATTTAGTTTGAATTAATCGATTTGATCCAAAATTGAGTGATCATCATGACCTAGTCCTTAGTAATCAAAAGTTACATTTATCCAACAAGAAACTATCAATGATTTAAATTTATTTACATTACAATTGAATCAATATAATCCAGCTATTAATATATTCCTAAGATAATACCTGAGATTTCATGTAATAAAGTTATTGAAAAGGGAGGAAAGTGTTACAATAAGATACACTAATATTGAGGGATGAAAGAGACTTGGAAATGAGAGTAAAGTGAAAAGCATAAGAGGATATTTTTAGGAAAGAATCAATAAGATGCATGGAAAAAGTTCCTTGGCTATTTATCCAAGGCAATTTAGCTTGATTGTTTGTCGATTCTCATTCAATCCATGGTAATTTCAACTTTTCTTTTCTTCTTATATGGATTTCTCACTCACGAACATCCTCACACTACTCATTTTCTCTTTTCTTTCTCTCTCTCTCTCTTTTGTCATTCTTGCAATCTCAATGGTCATCCCAATGGTCCGAAAAACATCAAAATTGATTCTATGAATATAATGTAGATATTGGAACGAAGCAAAAAAAAATAACCAATACAACAAAACAATCTGAACATGATTCAATCATTACAATTTTGCTCATTCTGTTACCTTTTTGTATTATCATTACATGATGGTCATTCCAGTTATCTTATTGATGACCAATAGACTTAATCTATAGAGGAATCTAGCTAATATTTCATTTGTATCTGTTTTGTATCATTATGATTGTAACTCAATAAGACTCTTGGTTTCATCTGTAATCTAAGTCATAATAATAATTGGATAATCTTAAGATACAATAAACATTCAGTTCATTGTTTTCAAAGTTTTTCGGTGATATTTCAATTCACTATCAAATGGATCAATTAACTTTACAATGCAAGTCATAGATAATTATTAGATGTAGCTAATAACATTTTATCTGATATTCTTCTGACAGTTTGAATGACAGTTTTAAATTTTATTCAAAAGTTAATTCAATGTGAGTTTTCATTCACAGTTCTTGTCCAATCTATTGAGTGAACTTAGAAAATTATGATAACTATCACTAAATATGAATATGAGAACCATGGTTGGAATTTTCGAGTTAAAATCTCATGATTAAATCTGAAAAATCCCTTGGAGATTGGAAATATTTCCAGTTTTCATGACCAAGTCTAAGAATTGATATTTAATGAGTAGCAAGTTCATGGAAACAAAGTTGGGTTAACTGTAAGCTGAACTTTTGATAACCTTGATTTCAGATTGAATCAATAGGGAAACTTAAAGGTAGTATTTAATAGTAAAGCTTTTGTTACCTTAGAGTAGATTTCGAGTTAATATCGAGACACTTTTCTTTTTTTTATATATATAACTTTCAGTAAGACTCATCAAGTTTCCTTTCATGATAATCATGATGGTCAAGGGAAAAAAAGAAAGAATGAAAAATTGATCAATATAAGGGAGAGAAAGGAAAAAGATAAGATGAAATTGAAGAAGAGGCGAGAATCTAAAATGTTATTATTACAAATAGTTGTGATAAACTCAAGAGAAAATAAATGATCGTCACATATCACTAACAACATTACATGGCGATTTTGGTGAGTAGAAAGAGAAACAGAAATTAGAAAAGAAAATTCTGACCTGAACAATGTAACAAGAGTCTTCATATACCCTGATAAAGTTGTGTCCAGTTCTGTAATGACAATAGATAGAAAAAAAATTTGACGCTTATTTGAAGCGAAAAGAAGAAAAAAATAAGAAAGGAGAGAGAGGAAAAAAGATTAAAGGATGAAAAAGAATGATAATGATGAGGAAAGATCATCTTCCTCATCATCTTCTTCTTGTTCATCTTCAATTCCTCTTTTTATCCTTACATACATACAAGTTTATCATGGAAAGAGAAATAAGTTAACTGATAAACTGAAAGGGAAATGTAAGTTGATGGTCAAAGGAGAAAATGGAAAAGGCGTTGGAAGTAGATGAAAATTGGAAAAAAGGAGAAAAAAACTCAGACAGATAACATGATGATGATGATGATGATGATGATGTCGAAAATGAGAAAAAGAAGAAAAATCATAAATTGTTTGTGGAAAATAAATAGAAATGTAGACAAGTCACGATTTTCTTTTTGCTTATTCTTTTCCTGGTAAGACTTTCACTTCTCATCATGTTGATCTTATTCATCATTCTAACCACCTCATCACATCAACATCATCATCACTATCGTCATCTTCCACCCTTAATAACTATTGTAATCATAATGATCTTCAACAATTTTACTCCTTCGTTCATCACTTGTAACCTTGGCGAATACCTGATTTCATCATATCCAGATAAATAAATCATCATGTCTTTGGTCATCTTCACTTTTATCATCATTATCATCCCCTTTATGTCATCGTGTTTACAAAAGTGTCAATGAATAGTAAAAGGATATCACGTTTCAAGTCACCAAAACGGTTCACCTTTTTTTTTGTTTCATACAATCAGATAAATGATCATGGATCAGAATTGAAATCATAGGTTATAAACTAATCAATTTTCACTCATTTTTACCGTTATAATCTGATATCATAACTGATTATCATTATCGACATCATCACGGGAACCATAATAATAATAACGATAAAAATCAATAACAATAAATGATGATTATTGAAGTATAAACAATGATAATATCGCAAACAATAAGAGATAAGAATCACTTTTATCATTATAATGATGTAGAAATCGTAAACCATTCATTTGATTAACTTCATATTCTTGGTATTGATTTCACCTTCATTATCAATCAATCAATTGATTGCTAAAGTTAAGATAATCTGTTATTGATACCTCACCTTTTCTTGATAAAGTTCAGCTTGATCAGGTTTACAATTTCATGTTACCTTGAGAAAACTTTTTCTATTTTTTTTTTCTTTGTAATTTATGATAATATCTGAGCTGATTGATAGACCTTATCAATTTTTACTCTTCCAATATCGAGCTTTTTTTTATTTTCATCATGTTCAATTGAATGGGTGAAATTTTTTTTCCTTCACAATTTTTTATCACAAACTTCTTCATGAAATTTATCTCTTAGAACTTTTCTTCTTAACGAGTTCTCTCAAGTTTATTGTGTATATACAGCAATGGAAATGAATGAAAAATGTTGATCCAAATAAATGAAACTTTTCTTCAATGAGAAAACTTAGAATCTTGAGATTCATCAATGTTCAGCAATTCAGTAAACATCAATCTATGTTCATCATCATCGATATGATGATGATGAAAGTTCATTGAAAGAGAAAAGCTGAAAACTTTGTTTTTACATTTAATTCCAATGTTTCTTACTTAAAGCGTATTTCATGATGAAAAGTTCATCTAATATTTGACAAAACCTCAAATACTACAATTTATCATCAGTTATTAAATATATACTCCTATCAGGCAGATATTTACTTGCAAGTTTACTTGGAGTTTTTCAGGAAATCCATCGTTAAGAAACTATTGAGAAAATCATAGAATCCAGAACTTTTCTGAAACTTTTCTTTGAGTTGTAGTGAGTGAGTGAGTGAGTGAAAGAGAGAGAAATAAACTCTTTAATCAAACATTGACACTATTGATGATAATGATTCGAGAGGTGGATAAGGTTGATGACGATGTTATTGTTTACTTGTTTGTCCAACGGAAGTTAACTTTTCCTTTCCTTTGCAGTTCTTGTTCTTATCCTGTTTTTTTCGAGTTGTAACTTTGAGAGTTGGCTCATTCTCACATGATGTATTTGCAAGAGTTGCTGATATCAGTTGCCAATCTCTGGTAATGTTAACACTTTGACTCTTGTGTTCAAAAGAAAATCATATTTTATCTTCAGATTAGACGTTAAAATTGAGGAAAAGTTATTCATCAAATACAAGTATTATATACAGTCAATGAAAAAGGAAGAAAAAAGTTCTAGATCAA